GCCACAAACTCTGGTTATCATTGGGTTAATCGTTCACTTTTGCTATTATTTAGTGTGAAATCAATTACTTTATCGATCTTTTGGTAAATTGTAAATGTTTTTCATTATAAAATTCAATAGTTTTATTAAATTATTAAACATTTTATAATTTAAAAATTATAGACAAAACTTTGTTGAAACTTGAGATTCTGTACAAAAAATTAGTAAAATTAATCATTGATTTTATTACAATTTAAAGTGATTTTAAAAACTCCAATATTTTCAATCATTTGATTAGTAAATGGCAAATATTGAAAATACTGTACCGTATAATGTAATGAATTGCTTGAAAACAAAGCAATTCATGAGAAATGGCATTAAATAAATGTTTGGAAAGTATAAGAAATGATACAAAAATTATTAAGCAATTGCTTTAATGTTTAATCAATTAATAAATGAATGATAGGTCTGTATGTATAGGACATGTGTAGCGATGTATTCACATATAAATAAAGTTAAAACGACTCAAAGCCTGCGGCAGACTGGAGATGATGGGTCCGTATCCCTGGGCGTTGTCGTACAACTCGAACAACGGCGCGGCCACCAGTTTGTAGTTCTTGGGCACAGCGAACAACGCCTTCTCCGGCAACTGAACCAAAAAGAGTCGCTTATGTTCTTTAGGTTTCGTGATATGCGGAGGAATATAGGGGTACTGCGGGGGCTCGAAGTTAGGCCTCCACCAGTTGCCCACCGTGTCCTCGATGTCCCACTCCTGCACAACGCCGTCCTGACGGCCCAGAGTCTGCACAACGAGAGAGACAATGAGTGAGTGTGTGTATCAATGGATGGTAAGGCAGTACTTCAGTCATGAGTCGCTTGAGTCCGTCCAACTCGTCCTCCCCAGCGTTGAGCTCACCGCCGGGCAGTTTGAAGAAAGTGGTTCCCAACTGAAGCAGCAAAACGTGCGGCAGTTTGTGTTCGTGGACGAGGAGGACGCCCTCAACACTCCTTCTCTGCCCAATCTTCTCGAACTCGTCTCTCATCCTCTGAAACCTCGCCGGAACTGACGGGTCCTTCTCGAAGAGCGCGTCCTTTGTTCCGAACGTGTAGTTCGTCA